GGAATGCCAAAGAGAAAAATATCACAAGTTTTTCTGTTTAGGAGAGAGGATACAATACGTAGATGGGGTGAAAGAGACTCTAAGAAAAGTCTAAAAGACAAGCCAAAAAACTAACAATTGTTAATTATAAAGAGCTAATTTTGTCAGAGGCAGGAAAAGAGAAGGACATTGGAGATCACTCAATAGAAATATGAAAGGAAGGAGCCATTCTTGAACATTGTTGAAGAACTATGTCTTTATTTCTCCAGGCTGGACCTCATGAGGTCATCATTGGCATGAGAGGCTCAAAAACTTGGGCTGGTACTACTAGAGTTTGGACATCTGGAATGTCAGCACACAGTGCACTACTTTCTCCAAAGTATCTTAATTCCGCTTTCCAAAAATAGGCATCCTCGCCAGCCTTAGTCACCCAAACTGGAAAATGTACAGCACAGAATGAAATGAAAAGCATTTTTGTTTCCCTTCACTCAACAACTAGTAATAAGATTTCTGTGGGGGAAAATTAAGGAAATAGAGTTCCATATACTGTAGTTTTGATTAACAGTGTCTGAAATTGGCACGTGACTGGCAATTGTTTTGCTCGTATGACTGACATGAATTTCAGGCTTCAGTGGGACTCTTAAAAAGCATGTTTTTGCAGCCAGCACGATAATTGTTAATGCTTTAAAGAGGAGAACAGGACCAAAGGCCAGTAAAAGCCCAGTTAGAATCAAATGGCACATTACTTGCACATCATTTGGAAAACATGAACAAAAGTACTTGGTTTTGCTACACCCAACTAAAGTAACAGACTTCACTGTGTGCTAATCTGGACTCAGACCAAGCCACACCTAAGCAAATAATGCTTAGTAGATGCAAAATAATACTGATTTCTTTATTTAGACAACCAAAACTATTTATTTTACCAATGAAATCGCATAATAACTATCTGCACTTTAAACAGTCTTTTAAAACAAAGCCCACAAAATGCAGAAGTGTGCCAATAGGTCAAGAATAAAAAGCAAGCATGCATATGGATTCAATGCTGTAGATTTATTCAGCATTGGTTAATGGTTTCTATAGAGATTGATGTCAATCTCTCTGGCCTTTCTTGTGTCAACACTCAGTTACAACAAGGAAGATCATGGCTTTTGCCTTTGATTAGAAGAGGTATCTTTCCGCAGTTTACTGAAGGTCACAGTATTTGCAACAACTTCTCCCTTATTACAGATCCTATGCGTAATGTATACATTTGTGGAGCATAATATAAAGGCAATTGATTCCATAAGCCTAGGTCAAAGTGTTATTAAAACTACAATGAATTAAAAGGGTTTTTTTCTCTTTAAACTAGAAGGTTTTCATCTCAAATACACTGTACTGAAAAACTGCAGAAAATATTACCATAATGCTAATTAAGCTGTCAAAGGTAACTGTGGCACAGTACCACAAATTTTAATACTGCTGCAGACTTTCTAAATTACATGAAAAGAACAGTGACTCATGTTCTTCTCTCATTAAAGTAAATAAAAAGGCTTCTCATTTCACTCATAAAACACCCCCCTGTGCTTTTTTAAATTGTTGTCAGCATCACACCTCCTCAGCACATGGAACACCCAATCCCTGAACAAGAGTAGAATACAGAGATACTATGTTTGTAATGGAGCACATATACAAATGTTAGTCGCTGTGTCTTATGATAAAATATATGAAAGATACATTTTCAGAAATTTCTCTTAAGGCAGCAGTCAAAACAAAACAGCATATTGCTACTGATGTTAAATCAGTCCATAATATTGTTAGTATGGCATCCTGTCTCTAGTAAAATGACTGGTTTACAAACACTGCGTGTAAACAGTAATGTTTCCAAAGTGTGACATTATAAGGCACATGTTAAATCAGGTGGGATGGTTTAGTTGTCAAAGCACCACTTTTAAAAGACATGACCTGGAACAACAGAGTACATGGACTCTAATTGAGATCCATTAACTTCCACAAGTTTACGAGTAGTTTTGGATCAAGCATACAATATAAATCCCTGTGAGTTCTGTGTGGACATTAAAGATCCCCCAAGCCAGAATCTGCCCTGAGGTCCTTGGCCAAAGCTTCTCTACCTTCCACTAGAATGATACATGCCCGTTTGTTGTTGCTGCTGGCCTCTTACCATAGCAGAGACAGTGCTGCAACCATGCTATATGTATATAGGCCGAATCTATGACCCAGTAAAATAAATTAGAAGACTCCAACTGATTTCAAAGATCTTTTTCTCAGACCCATAATAAGCAAAGTATTTTCAGACTGACGATGCTGTATGATTTTGTGCCACATTATTTATCTATAATACTACAGTGCACGATAAATACATTTTAATGTAAAAATAAAATATTAAAGGATATTTTAATTTAACAATGAATATACATCAGGAACAGCTGTGTGACTAAACTGGTTATTATTTGGGATTAAATTCATTTGGTCTACTGCATAATACTTATAGGATTTGGGGCATTTGGTGGACCACACAGCCACCCAGAATGAATGAATGAAAGGTTTAATTTAGTTCCTCTTCCAATCTCACACTCTCTATTGCAATAAGGACAGAGTCAGCACCCTCACTAGAAGTTAAAGGAACTCAATGAAACCAGAGGGGTAGCATTAGTGTGAATGGTAATGGAAACTCCCCAGTCCTCATCAGCTGGAAAAGACCAAGGGGCTGGGAGAGTGTTAAAGAGGGAGCATGGGAGTACAATTAGAATCCTCAAGACATAGATTAGGAAGCAACAATTCCAGGGGCACTGGCACAGGTCCAGAAAGAAGGGCTGGACACTTAGAGGTTGGCAGTCCAACCACATTTATTAGTGGTAAGCTTCAGGAAATGTTCCACATAGCCCTCATAGTTTTCTGACTTCAAACTCACAGACATGCACGCGCACTCACACCACCCTTCTTGAGTTTCCTTTAAGCCTTCACTGTTTATCCTCAGGAGTTTCTTCCGCACTGAGGCTACACACCTCCTCAAACTACAATCTAGATGCTGCTTCTAGCTTTTCAACCATTCACAACAGCCAAATTAACATACAGGGAAACATCAAAAGGAGCACCTGAGACAGTCTTGTGAAATGTGAGCATTCCAATGTAGAGTACCTCCCAATTTGTCCCTTTCAAGCTAGAGAAGTTCTCAATAATAAGCTAAAGAATTCATTACTTAACTCCTTGTCTTTCTGAAAAAGTATGGTTTCCCAAGTCCATTAAACGCAAAGTACTTCATCAGACTGGCTAGCCCTGCCATGACTTGAACAAGCAGATGCAGAGAGAAAGCTTAACTGATGTCCCTCAACTCTAGGGCTAGGGACAGACATTCAAAAAGCCTGAGCACAAACTGATTCAATCTTTGCAGGTTAATCTAACTTGCAAAGCTTGAACTGATTTGAAGGTGGATAGACATTCTCTTTTCATTCCAGAAATGCAGGCATCTGCCTGCAGTGGCTCAGGCTAGAAGCCAGGGGACACTAGAGACACTTCTCTTCCCTTCTACAGAGCTCAGTGTAGTGGGGGTGTGGCCAGGCCCGAGAAATACCCTATTATTTCCCCCCCACTCCTGAACAGCCCAACAGGGAATGTTTATCGCCCCTAACTCAGTGTTTATCAACCCATTAAGAAAACAAAGTCTCCTCCATTAACTAATGGAGCTCTTCTTAAACAGCTCTTCTAAGAAAGGACATTAAGTGATCTGTTGATTAGCTCCAAAAAGCCTGTCTGCCTTTGTTCTCTCTCACAGCCCGGACCGTAGCCAGCATCTGGTCTGCTAGCTAATGCTGAGGTGTCTGTGTAAGGTGGAGGGGGTAGAAATAATCCCTGTTTAGCAGGGAAAAGCCAGGCAGATGCTCTGTGCCTGCAAGTCTCTGCTGGAGCTGGAGACAGGGAGCAGAGGGGAGGAGCCAGCCCTGCTGTGGAGCAGAGAGCCCTGCCCAGCCCAGGGATGCTGGGGGAGTCTGGTTTATATTAAACCAGCAAGGGGTATGGGACAGACATTGCATAAACTGGTTTGAGCAAAATCAGTTACGTCTGATACTACATTCAACCAGGTTTATCTCAAACCGGTTTCAACCATTTTCAAACTGGTTTATGTGCACTGAACACCAGAGACTTCTGAGCAATGCACTGAACATCTGACTCCAGCTCCTCAAACTGGTTTATGTGCACTGAACATCTGTTCTGTTACAGGTTTAAACCAGTTTCTGATCACTTAAACCAGTTTATGTGTAATGTCTGTCCCTAGCCCTATTGTGCCATTCAAAGCAGCCTATTTACTTATCACCTCTCTTTAGGGCCTTCAGGCTGCAAATAAAATTTGTAATAAAAGTAACTAGAAGGGCTGGCAGGTGCCCCTGG